TTTTTTTTAGCGTAGACAGTAGACCATATGATTGTCCAATTCAAAATGGCCAATACCAGTCCATTTCAGTTCATTAATGTCCAGGACATTGATTTTATGCATTCCATTTCATTTTTGATGACTTCCAATTTTCCTAAATTCATACTTTGTACATTCCACGTTCCGATTATTAATGACTGTTTGCAGCTGCTTCTTCTCATTTTGAGTCACACCACATCAGCAAATGAAGGTCCTGGAAGCTTTACTCCATCCGTGTCATTAAGGTTGACTCTACTTTCAGGAGGCAGCTCTTTTCCAGTCTTATTTTGAGTGCCTTCCAACCTGAGGGGCTCATCTTCTGACATTATACCAGACAATGTCCCTCTGCTACTTATAAGGTTTTCACTGGCCAATTTTTTTAGAAGTAGATCGTCAGGTCCTTCTTCCTAGTCTGTCTTAGTCTGGAAGCTGAGCTGAAACCTGTAGAGCATGGATGAACCTGCTAGTAGAAATACTGGTGGCATAGCTTCCAGCATCACAGCACCATGCAAGCTATCAAAGTACAACAAACTGACAGACAAGTGGTGGAATACAAACATAGAAGATATCATAAAAAACTTAATCCTAATAAAATTGAAATTATAGATATGGAAAAATCCCAGAAAAAATAAAATTTACCATAACCAATTCAAGTTTCTTTCAAGAAGATATAGAAAACACAAAGTATCCTATACCTAATAAAGAAAATAAATCTTTGGGGGTGGGGATGAGGAAAACTTTATAGGCCTAGATGACTTCAATAAGAAATAATTCTAACCTCCACAATTTGAACATTAATGACTAATGAGCAGATGAGTTGTGGGATGACATCAAAGACATCATACATGAAGAAAGCAAAAGGTCATTAAAAAGACAGGAAAGAAAGAAAAGACCAAAATGGTTGTCAAAAGAAACCTTGAAACTTGCTCTTGAACATAGAGCACCTAAAGCAAATGGAAGAAATGATGAAGCAAAAGGGCTGAACAGCTTTCAAAGGCATCTTGAGAAGACAAGTAAAGTGTTATAATGAAATGTGCAAAGACCTGGAGTTAGAAAATCAAAAGGAAAACACACGTTCAACATTTCTCAAGCTGAAAGAACTGAAGAAAAAATTCAAGCCTTGAACCGCAATATTGAAGGAATCTGCAGAGAAAATACTGAATGAGACAGGAAGCATCAAAAGAATATGGAAGGAAAGACAGAGTCACTGTACCAAAAAGAGTTGGTCGACATTCAACCATTTCAGGAGGTAGCATATGATCAAGAGACGATGGTACTGAAGAAAGAAGTCCAAGCTGCACTGAAGGCATTGATGAAAATCAAGACTCCAGGAATTGAAGAATACCAACTGAGATGTTTCAATGAAGGGATGCAGCACTGGAGGTGCTCACTTGTCTATGCCAAGAAATTTGGAAGACAGCTACCTGTCCAACTGACTGGAAGAGATCCAGGATTTCATTTTGTGTACTTTCCTTATGTGTTTCAAGATGTACAATAAAAAGTTTAAAAAAGAAGTAAGTTTACAATTACCCTGAAAGGAAGGAAAGAAAGAGGAGAGGAGAATAAAAAGAAGTGGAGAGAGAAAGGAGACAGGAAAGGCCAGAGAAAAGACCTGGAGGCTGAGTGGCCAAGAAAGGATGTTGAAAACGTCGAAGTAGAAATTTTAATTGTTTGCTGTGAGATTTATGATGCAAGCTCCCTTCTACCTCTTCCACAAAACTTTTTGGAAAGTTGACACTACTTTCTGTTTGAACGGGATATTTTGGGGAAAACAATGAAGACTTAGCACAGAACAAAAACAGAAACGACACAGGCAGACTCCATATCAGGAGGATGAAACGTAGTCATCCAAGTTAAATTGTGTGTGTCTCCTGTGTAATGTGAACCCCTCTGCATTGACTAATCTTATTTGTATGCTTTTTCTTTCCCTTTGGATTAAATACAAGCTCTTTACAGGCAGGTACCGTGGTCTTTTCACCTCCCAAGGAGCGGTGGTAATCAGAAAGGGCATGAACTTTGAAGTCATATACACCTAGGTTCAAATCCCACTTCTGACACTTATCTGTTGGATGACCTTGAGCAAGTTTCTTAACCTTTCTGAACCTTAGTTTGTCCACTGTAAAGTGGACACTTATAGATGACTTATGTAAAATGTCTAGCAGAGAGGCTGCAAACTAGAGGCCTAAAGGCCAGATATGTGTTTTCTTTGGCTCTGTACAATATTTTAAAAAATTTGATTTCATTTCAAACATTTTAAAATCAGGAGATTTCACATGAAAAAAATCTTGGAAAAATTGGAAAATATGGCCACACTAGGCCGCATTCTTAAACGACAAAGTTGGCCTGGGTGGAGTAGCACTTGCTCCTTTAGACACAGGGGTGTGATGTTCACTTGGGCACCATCCCACTCCTCCCTATTGTCTTATACTTGGTCAACCTCATTCAAGTTCCCTGATTGGCTCTTTAGGTCCCTGCACTTTGAACCCAGGCCTGGCATAAAAAACAACCTAAGTGTTGGCTCACTCTTTTCTTGAAATTAAGCATTTGTTCATTGAATAACTTAAAGGAATTGTATAAATTTCTCTTTATAGCATATTACCAAACTTGGTATTCAGTGAACAGCTATTTCTAAAAGGAAATATAATAATAAGCACAGCTTACCATGCTAGATATTGCTAAAGAAGCCTGTTGCCAGGTGTCCATTACCAGCTTCTCATCTGCCTCAAAGTTTAACTCTACATTTTCCAGTGAGTTATCGATCTTGCCCTTCAGTATTGTTTTTATTTTTGGTTTGGACATAGCTGTTTCTGGAGAAATAGATATTCGAGGAACTAGAGGAATTCTTTGGGAAACAAACAAAAAAAGAAATATATACATTTTATGTTTTTGTGACCAGGTTACTTTGTGAATTTTATGTTGTTGTTTAATCTCGATTTTCAAAGTTTTCTTGGAAGAATTCTTTAAATGACAAAAAGATCATAAAAGACTATATTCAAATTTTTTGTGGTCTAGAAAGTCTCATTAACAAGAGAAAAGTAAAAAAACAAACAATAACAACTAAATGCAATTTCCAAGTTCACTCTCAGAAATTATGAGGCGGGAGGGGTGGGGAGGGGGTAAACAACAGTGATTATGAAGAAATGCAATTTTGAAATTTATCCAGGGCATACACTTCTGACCAGGAATAAATTAGTCATGAAAAACCAGACCAAATGGAACTGGATGCCACTTGGTTAAGAAGACTAGTATCAGTCGGCATCCTGAAGTGGACAGTTAGAAAGTAGGATATGACAGATGTGAGTTCTGAAAGGGGGTACCCCACAGAGGCAGCCAGGTTTTGCTCCAGCAGCCCTCCCACTTTTGAGTATGGCTCATGAAGGGTTTCTCTGTGTTTACTAAACAGAGTTTAACTCTGTTTATATGAACAGAGCAAGGTACCCTTCCTCCTTCTCTCAACTAGAATGTGGACATTTTTGAGCTGTCCCTGGTCACATTCTATCTCCAAAAGCTCCAGGGGTCTGAAAGCTTAACAGAAGAGGGCTGAGAGACACAAGGCGAGTGCTTACTGTGATTGGGATCCATCTTCAGTGATAGAAAGTGCAAAGAGCCCTCAGTTTGGGGGTGGGAGTGGGCAGCGAGGAGCTCCAAGGATGCCTTTGTTAAACATTGAGGAGGGTTAGGAGCAATAACAGGAAACACGGATTTGGTTCTGCAATCTCAAAGTGCCAGGGGAACAGAGCAGTGATTCAGAAAGCTGGCTGAGAACTCCAACAGATAATTAGTTTGGCCTTGTTTTGAAGCATCAGACAAGGTTTCTTGAACTTGGCACTCTGATTCGTACGATACTTAGAATTCTGACAGTGTACCATGCCTATAAGGCAATGTGTTGGGAATTCATTACAGTACACATTTATCCACAAGAATAAATTAGATTTCAATAATCAAAGAATGCTAAATCTCAGTGTGTCCAATTAGTTAAGGTTAAAGTTTGTGTGATCATCTCTTGATATTTAATACAGTACCATATGTATTTTTCAACATCTTGCTCTGGAGGACAGCAGTGGTGGCATATTATTTAGAAAAAGAATGTGGGTTTATTTACTGGAAAACAATCTAGTCTAGCTAGCTTTGCCACTGTCAGTAGATATGAACTTAGGCATGCCACTTGACTCTCTGGGGCTCAGATCCTCCTGAAATAATACAAATACAATAATAGTGATAGTGATAATGATGATGATGATAAAAAATAATATAGAGTTGTTAGGAGACATAAAATAGACAAGATATATGAAAACGCTTAGCACAATGCTTATTTCCCTATATATGTTAAAGAGACTGTAATTGATTCATTGATACATGATTGACTGATAGTTCCAACAGATACCTACAATAGTGATTTGAGGTTGAGATGGGTGCAGAAGTGTTTTTGCAGAAAATAAGAACGGCTGTCCTTTTGCCCATTTCATTCTACTAACCAACATTAATAGCTTTGCCATTATGCCTGACTTGCTGTTTTATGCTAAGAACAGAATACACTGCTACTCTAGACATTGCAAGTTGGTATCTTTTTATGGATCTGATGGTTCATATTGCCCTTGGAATTAAGTTTTTTTTTAAATTTCAAAGTTCTCTTTTAGTAGCTTTCTGAGTTAAACATTTCTCTGGGTTTTTATCAAGATGGTGCAACCTTTCCCTGTTGTGTATTCTTGCGTACACATGGGTCTAACAGGGACATGATGGACTAGATGAAAGAAGGTTAGAGAGAGAAGACCACTGCATAACCTTATCGCCTTCAGTCCATCTCAAATCCTTTTTTGGAATAAGGAAGGGTAAAATAAACAAAGCAAAAACATGCAATACTCACAATTAAAATACTACATGGAAATAAGAATAGCTTATTGCTATATTGTGCTGTAATAATAATGGTTGTTGTTAGTTGCCATTGAGTCAATCCCAACTCATAGTGACCCCATGTGTTACACAGCAGAACTGCTCATAGGGTTTTCTCAGCTGTAATCTTAACAGAAGCAGGTAGCCAGGCCTTTTCCTCCACGGTACCTGGGTGGCACAAATGGTTAAGTTCTTGACTATTAGCTGAAAGGTTGGCAGTTTGAATCCACTCAGAGGTGCCTTGGAAGACAGGCCTGAAGATCTGCTTCTAAAAGGTCACAGCCTGTGCAGTCATGCACAAATCGTTTATGCTACGTAGGGACCTTAGAGTAATAATAGTCACCAGTTATTGAGAGCTAGGACTTGATCTCAAGTCTTCTGGTCCCAGACATGGTGCTAAATGCTTGTGGATTTTATTTTCTGCAATCTTCACAACAACCCTATTTTACAGATATGGAAACCGAGGCATAAGAGAGTTTGAGTGACTTGCCCAAAGAGAAAATTGTTTTAATTTACTTAAATATAGCTTGTAAGTAATATACCCAAGACTTGAAATCATGTTCACTACCTCTAATTTAATTGGTGCAACTGCTTGTTACATACATCAACTGAGCAAACTTGTAAAAAATGCACTACTTCCAATATAAAATACACAGCTTAGCTCTTTGGAGATTTAAATTTAACATTTGGTGCCTGTATATTAATTTTTAAATCTAACTCCTTGCTTTTCCCCCTTTTCAAGCTAGTTTCTTGTTTTCTTATGGCCTGCTTAGTAGTAATGAGAAAATATTTTAATTCTTAATTATATTTTATTAATTCATTTTAAATGAATTTATTTAAAATTTTTAATGATTTTAAATTTACTTTTTATTATTTTAATTCTTGTTTTTAGCTCTCCTTCAATGTTTCATAGCATAAAACCACATCACAGGAATTACCACCACCACCACCTCCTCTCTCTCTATCTCTCTGAGACATTTTTCTATCTGTTCATAGCATCTCAGGGTTTGGGATCTTGTTCTTCTCCCATCCCCACCTATTGGATCTATAAAAGCAATTATTTACAAACTTTTATATTGGAACAGGACTGTTTGGCCGAAAATATAATTTTTCTTTCATTCTTACCATCAATTTCATTTTCTTGCTGGCAGGAATTTGATGTTAAAATATTAGTAAGTCTTTCAGCCACATGAAGTCATAATCACATTTGACTCAGTCTTTATTGTTTCTCAATTTCCTCACTTGTGAAAGAAGACTCATACCGCTTCCATTTTCCTTTCTATCATATGATATGTATATCCACACATACATACTAAGACACTAAGAGCTGCTTGAGATCTTTCAAGAAACTGGTAGAGGTTCAGGGTCCGTTACCAGAAGCCCTTGGAACCAAAAGTGTTTGCAAATTTAGAAGTTATAAATACCATATAGTACCTAATATCACCAGCAGAGCCTGTGAAAGCACTCCATAATATCTCTGCAAGAAAATGGGTAAATATTCACTGTAAATGGGATACATCTACACTAAACTTAGAAATTTTTTTTTCAATTTTTAGAGCTTTTTTAGATTTTCAGATAAAAGATGATGAATGTTATTAGTGGCACTTAATTTAAAATCATAAAGTTTTATGTTCATAACAATTACAACGGAACAGACGGCTTACTTAAGTTGGCTTTCCGGAATGTCTTTACCATCCAGTTGGACCAACGGGACTCGAATAAATTTCTTATTGTCTTCTATTGGGATTTTGCTTTCCATTGCTCTGTAATACTCTTGAAGGAGTCTCTTTGTATCTTGGAAACGGCTCAGTTCTGCCTTTAGGAGATAATGTGAATGTTAATACCCAAGAAAGAACAAGCTGATCTGTGTGTATTACCTATGTAGGATTCTCCAAGAACTATTTTAAAAGCATTGAGATTGAAATTAATTTTCTGGAAATTAAGAAAAAGAATTGGTCACAAGTGGGTATTTAAAATTCCACAAACGTTCAAGATAACTAGTTACTCTGTCCTCTCTGTCCTTACGTGTATGCTTCCACTTAATTTTAGAAGATAACATTGCCACTGCTCTTAATATTGTTAACAAAGGTTCAACATGTATGATATCCGTAGTGCACACTATTCATTATTTTAATACTAGAAATTCTTCCTGTGTCCTGTAGTCAATCATCCAATACATTAACCAACATTTGACTTCTATGTCATAGGTAACATATTAGTTGATTTGGGAGACACCCTAAATATGTAAGACTTGTTCCTGGTCCTCTGGTAACATAAAGTGATAAAATGACAATGAACGTAAATGGTAAAATAGAGTGACAATGATCAGTTCTCTTTCCACAGTTTCCTTTCTTATTCAATGTGTATGGTGGGGAGACAATTTTTTTGGTGCTCAGAGCTAAACCCCTGCTGGTATTGCCAGTAGGTGCCTTAAGGAAAGTGGAAGAGCACAGAGGAGCTAGTGGCAATGTGAGTGTTAATTATTAGCATGTTGTGACTCCCTTGTCAGCACAGGCGATTTCCCTTTTCAGTAATGCTCAATGCTGAATACTACAAATGTAGACCTCGAGTCATTCAACACATCCTCCTATAGGGGTGTGGAGCTACTTAAACCAGTAGCTGAGGGCCTAAACAGAGAAGCACTATGCAGATACGTTTCATGATATCTACTTAATATCCATATCTAATATCATTATACCAAAAAGAATTGGTTGATGTTCAACAATTTTAGGAGGTAACATATGATCAGGAACTGATGGTATTGAAGAAAAAAAGAAGTCCAAGCTGCACAGAAAGCACTGGCAAAAAACAAGGCTCCAGGAATTGACGGAATACCAACTGAGATGTTTCAACAAACGCATGCAGTGCTGGAAGTGCTCACTTGCTATGCCAAGAAATTTGGAAGACAGCTACCTGGCCAACCAACTGAAAGAGATCCATATTTATGCCTATTCCCAAGAAAGGTGATCCAACTGAATGCAGAAATTATCAGACAATATCATTAATGTCACATGCAAGTAAAATTTTGCTGAAGATCATTGAAATCAGCTGTAGCAGTATATTGACAGGGAACTGTCAGCAATTCAAGCCAGATTTAGAAGAGCGTGTGGAACCAGGGATATCATTGCTGATGTCAGATGGATCCTGGCTGAAAGCAGAGAATACCAGAAAGATGTTTACCTGTGTTTTATTGAATATGCTAAGGCATTCGACTGTGTGGATCATAACAAATTATGGATAACATTGCAGAGAACGGGAATTCCAGAACACTTAATTGTGCTCATGAGGAATCTGTACATGGATCAAGAGGCAGTCCTTCGAACAGAACAAGGGGATATTGCATGGTTTAAAGTTGGGAAAGGTGTGCATCAGGGTTGTATCCTTTCATCATATCTATTCTGTCTGTATACCGAGCAAATAATCTGAGAAGCTGGACTATATCAAGAACGGGGCATCAGGATTGGAGGAAGACTCATTAACAACCTGCATTATGCAGATGACACAAATTTGCTTGCTGAAATGAAGAGGGCTTGAAGCACTTACTGATGAAGGTCAAAGACCACAGCCTTCAATATGGATGACACCTCAACATAAAGAAAATGAAAATCCTCACAACTGGAACAATAAGCAACATCATGATGAATGGAGAGAACATTGAGGTTGTCAAGGATTTCATTTTTCTTGGATCCACAATCAACGCCCATGGAAGCAGCAGTCAGGAAATCAGGAGACGCATTGCGTTGGGCAAATCTGCTGCAAAAGACCTCTTTAAAGTGTTGAAAAGCAAAGATGTCACCTTGAGGACTAAGGTGCACCTGACCCAAGCCATGGTGTTTTCAATCGCCTCATATGCATGTGAAAGATGGACAATGAATAAAGAAGACTGAAGAAGAACTGATGCCTTTGAATTGTGGTGTTGGTGAAGATTACTGAGTAAACCATGGACTGCCAAAAGAACAAACAAATCTGTCTTGGAAGAAGTACAACCAGAATGCTGCTTAGAAGCAAGGATGGTGAGACTACCTCTCACATACTTTGGACATGTTATCAGGAAGGATCAGTCCCTGGAGAAGGACATCATGCTTGGTAAAGTGGAGGGTCAGCGAAAAAGACGAAGACCTTCAATGAGATAGATTCACACAGTGGCTGCAACAATGGGATCAAGCATAGCAAGCAACAAGTGTGAGGATGGCGCAGAACTGGACAGTGTTTTGTTCTGTTGTGCGTAGGGTCACTGTGAGTTAGAACCAACTCGATGGCACCTAACAACAATGACAACACTTAATATCTACTTAATTGGAGTCTCTGAGTAGCACAAACAGTTAAGTAGTCAACTACTAGCTGAAAGGTTTGGCAGTTCAAACCCACCCAGAGACACATTGGAAAACAGGTCTGGAGATCTGTTTCCCAAAGGTCACAGTTTTTAAAAGCCTATGGAAATACTCTGGACACATGGGGTCACCATGAGTGGGAATCGATTCGACAGCAACTAACACCAACAACATCTAGTTAATTACAGAAAGTATCTTGAGGACTGAAGTGCACTGACTCAAGCCATGGTATTTTCAATTGCCTCATATGCATTTGAAAGCTGGACAATGAATAAGGAAGACTGACAAAGAAATGATACTTTTGAATTATGGTGTTGGTGAAGAATACTGAATATACCATGGACTGCCAGAAGAACAAACAAATCTGTCTTGAAAGAAGTACAGCAAGAATATTTCTTAGATACCACAGACACAAGGGAAGTATTAGCCCAAAAGACAGAAAAGGCCACATAAACCAGAGATTTCATTAGCCTGAGACCAAAAGAACTAGATGGTGCCCAGCTACCACCAAAGACTACCCTGACAGGGATCACAATAGAGTCCCTGACAGAGCAGAAGAAAAGTCCTGCGCAGAACTCAGATTCTAGTAAAAATACCAGACTTAACAGTCTAACTGAGACTGGAGGGATCCTGGAAGACATGGACCCCAGACTCTCTGTTAGCTCAAAACTAAAACCATTCCTGAGGCCAACTCTTCAGATAAAGATTACACTGGACTATGGGACATAAAATGATACTCGTGAAGAGTGTGCTTCTTGGTTCAAGTAGATACATGAGACTAAATGGGCGGCTCCTGTCCAGAGGGCAGATGAGACGGCAGAGAGGGTCAGGAGCTGGCTGAGTGGACACGGGAAATCTGGGGTGGAAAGAAGGAGTGTGCTGTCACAGTATAGGGAGAGAAACAAGGGTCACATAACAACGTATGTATACATTTTTGTAGAGAGACCAACTTGAATTATAAACTTTCAGTTAAACACAACAATTAAAAAAAAAAGAATTGACATATTAATAAACAGGGAGATCCCTGGTAATGGAGCACCTGGATTTTTAAACTCTGAAAAAAGAAAAAGAATGTTTCTTAGGAGCATGATGGCAAGACTTCATCTCACATACTTTGGACATGTTATCAGGAGGGATCAGTCCCCGGAGAAGGACAGCATGCTTGGTAAAGTGGAGGGTCAACGAAAAAGAGGAAGACCCTCAACGAGATGGATTGACACAGTGGCTGAAACCATGCACTCAAACGTCACAATGATTATGAGGATGGCATAGGACCAGGCAGGGTTTCATTCTTTTACACATAAGTCGTTATGAGTTAGAACTTGACGCCACCTAACAACATCTTTTCTAAAGGGCAAAAAGATCAAAACTGACCTAGTGCTCCAAGCCCTTAGCTGAAACTCACCCAACGATATTCATGAAAGAATTCCCATATTTGTCAAGCAATTAATGTTGCTATTTATTTCATAAAACATCAAGAAATACTCTTATTCTGCAATATTTATAGTTCAGGACAAAAAAAGTCTGCTTTTACATTGTAGTCTATAACAAAACATTAAGACAATTTCAATAAGTTTGTTCTTGATGTAGAAGAGGGTAAACCAAATGGCTCCTGAAAAGCTGTTCTCTGAATTATTAAGCTTTGCTAGCGAAATGACTGAAACAGGAAGAAATTCATTTGGTTAATTTGAATTCATGTTACAAAATAAAAGTGCCATTCATACATTGATTTGAATTATAGAACATTTTTTAAATGGTCTCATTGGATTTTAAGTCATAAGTATGTATTTAAATAACTTCAAAAGCTAGCATTTGGAAATGACTAGGAAAACTAAACATTATTCTTCCCTTGCAAAGAACCCAAATTAGAATATTCATAGTAGGCTAATCTCACAGTTAGACAGTAAGTGTTTGTACTGTCAGGTTTGTTTGGGTAAAACAACAGAGAGAAAACGAGTCTTCTACATTGTATTCACGAGAACATGCACAATGCCACTCTGACAATGAGTAGAATGCAAATGTAAACCCAATTAGCACTAATTGAATTTTTCTTTTAATTATGCTTTAGGTGAAAGATTACAGCTCAAGTTAGTGTCTCATACAAAAATTTATACACATATTGTTATGTGACCCTAGTTGCTATCCCTGTAATGTGACAGTACACTCCCCCTTTCCACCCTGGATTTCCTGTGTCCATTCAACCAGCTCCTATCCCTTTCTGCCTTCTCATCTTGCCTCCAGACAGCACCTGCCCATTCAGTGTTGTGTATCTACTTGAACTAAGAAGCACACTCTTCAGGAGTATTATTTTATGTTTTATAGTCCAGTCTAATCTTTGTCTGAAGAGTTGGCTTCGGGAATGGTTTTAGTTCTGGGTTAACAGAGAGTCTGGGGGCCATGCCTTCTTGGGTTCCTCTAGTCTCAGTCAGACCATTAAGTCTGGCCTTTTTACTAGAATTTGAGTTCTGCACCCCACTTTTCTTCT